AAAAACCAGAACCACATAAAAATATATCAACATAGGGCTAGAATTATACTAGGTGTTTCAGTTAGGTGGCTCAAATGCTTGAGAAATTTATTGCAAAATGTATTTAAGAGATGAATTATTTAACATTTTACTTCTAAATTTTTATTTAATTTTAAAAATCTCATCGAAATACACATGAGTAAGAATAGTTAAAAATTCGTAAAATATTAAATGATTAGTAATTAAATATATTTTGTTAAATTTCCCCAAATTTTCTTTAATCTTACCCAGATTTTTTAGCTGTTATGATCTTTTACACCGTATATTTTGGAAATATAACTCCTTTGGCAGAGAAAAGCATAACAATGCCAAACATTGGGCCATGCCTTCAAAAGCAAAATCCAATCTTTCATGCCACCTCATAATTGGAATAAGGGTGAGGTTCATATAAAGTGTCAATTTTATATTATTGCAGTAAAGTGCATTTGAAAACTGTGCCAAAATTGCAGTTTCAGTACCATAAAGCTTTGCGGTGATATAAAAATCTATTGTTCCCTGCCAATTATGAAATTTAAAGTTTCAGAAATGATGACAATCAAACAGATCTATATACACTTGAAAATCTCAAAAATGGATGGTCCAAATAATGTGTCAAATGATTAACTATTTTTGGTACTAAAAATACCTTCTTTTTTTTTTCCAAATCTATAAATCTCGAGGTCGAGATGATCAATTTGAGGATTTTCCAACAAAAAAACAACCTTCACTACTGGGTTTTTTAGGTGCACCTCAGTATAAGGTTGAGACCTTATATGAGCTTTTTCCTTGGAATAAGGCTCCAAACCAATGTTGCGATTTTGAGGTCCAAGCCCAAACTCAATGGAGTTGAGAACCAAAACTCCAGACATAGGAAAAAAAGAATTAAAAACCCAAGGGCCTAGCCAACCATTGACAGTCTTGATTGTGTCTTTTCATGCCAATAAATGCAAGACCACTAAGTCAAAACCTGGAGAGATAATTAGGCATCCTTTTACACAATAATTTGGAGCTTCTATCGTATAGGACCCTCTATTCACATCGTGTGCCTCTTACTTAGTATCTCTTAACCCATGGCTCCCGTCTCTTTTATATAACATGACAATTTACCTTATTTCCACCACACATGCAAAGCCAGTGAAAAGAAGATAGTATGAAAGGAGAAAGGACTGATCGTCTCCTAAAGGTCTATTTGTCAGGTTGCATGACCCCTTCCCTCTTATTTTGTTTGGATTTCGATAAGGAAAAGTAGAGGTGGAGATGAAATGTCACATTAGCTCTAAAAAATGGTCCCCAGCTCTTACTGCCTTGTACTCATCTTTTTTGTATGGATTACATTAGGCTACTTAAGCTCTGAAAATAAAATAAAAACTTAAAACACAAAATTAGACCCATTGCAACTCATGAGCTTGCAATAAAGAAACCGAAAAACAACTTTCATTCCTAAAAGTTAACAAAATTATTCCGTGTTAACCACAGTCAGAAACGAACTTTTCGAGGAACTATAATTTCGAAGAAATAAAAATCTAAATGATTTTTCCTTCTCTGGTTAATCCCGAAGGAGAAAAGAGCTGGCCCTGTCTCCCCAAATGTGTGAACCCAAACAAGAATGGGATGTGTGGGGAACCAATAATCAACTCTATCTACTCTCAAAAGCCATGCAAAGATTATCTTGCCTTTTACTTTTTTATTTTTCCCAAAGAGTAAGCCCACTATGATGCTCGTACGTGCATGCACAGTGTGTACCCTTTAGAGCAGCATTCAGAGCTATGGTTGAGGTGCTCACCAAAGGCTTCTAAATATCTACTTTCTATGCGGGCTGGACTGCATTTCTACAATATGCAGTCCCAAAGTATAAAGCATCCATCTTTAAGATGGATGCAAATAGGTGGTCCATCTAAAAACAATTTAAACTAACGGTCCAAATGTTTTCTTCATAAAATCATTATTTTTATTTCTTAAAATTTATTTATTTATTTATCTTCATGATCTCCATATTAGAGATTGCATGTCGTTAAAAATTTGGTCCAAAAATCTATCTCAAAAATAGATTTTTAATAGTCGACTCTTTTCTACATGGACCCATAGAAACCGTGTCCATTTGTAAAGGCTACTGTTCATATAAGGTGTCAACTTTAAATAAGCCATACATCTATTGTTAAAATATGTGCTTTTGGTGTTGGAAACTCTTACAATATCCTAAAAATCTACTTTCACCTATAAATATGAAACCTAAAACTATAAAGATGGTATAAATCGAGTGCATCTATAAATTTTTTATTTTTATTTTTTAAAATGGTTGGTCTAGATAATGGATTACAGGGTGTACTACTTTTAGAACTTAAAATCTTTTTTTCTTTGAATCCATATATGTCGAGGTCGGGACGATCAATTTCAGGATTATTTGACATCATAGCAACGTTTTCAATACACCTTACTTCTACAGTATGAGATTGACATTTTATATATACTTTTTTTATTTATAAACTAAAAATAATTTCTTGATATTTTAGTCTTAGGACTTTTAAACTTTGAAATAATATTGAAGAATTCACTACGGATTTGGCCAAATTAGAGATCATAAAGGAAGGGACATGGGCCCTTTTGTGGATTAAAGCAAACAGAGGCCTTTTCTTTGTCATTGAATGAATTGAGCGGGCTCCAATTTCTGAGGGTGCTTTTGAAATTAATGGTCGGTGGTAGTCAAAAAGTCCAAACACTGACGCACAGTGTTGGCTTCATATACGCCGCGTTTACTACAGTTTTCGTCAATATAAGTCTTAGCTTCACACGGTAAGTTAACTAACCGTTTACAAAAATACCCATGTCTCCTCCTCGTAATCTCAAACCAACAACACTCAACAAATACCACAGTACTTGGCCGCGGTAACGGTGGCAACGGGCGGGGCCACACTTGTCCCTTGGCAGGGCTCGCCTACGCAGGGTCCCTGGCCCGGCCTTTTTCCCTATACGGCGGACTCAAGCCCTATCCTGGTCCTATTACCGCCAGGTCGAGCCAAAAGTGAATGAAGCAAAAATAAAATAGAAAACAAGAAAAAAAGAGGGCCGGCCCAGCTTGCACTGCCTCCCTAGCCTGGCCCTCGGGGCCACAGTTTGTGTCCTAGGCTCTACGTTTTTAGGGGTGAGTCAACCGAGCGGGGCGGACCACCTGACCCATTGCCGCCCCTAACCTGTTGCTTTCTCTCCTATTTATTAACCGTTAAACCAAGTTCTTTATGTGTTTAATATTTATTATTCTTGACAAACCACGTTTAACTTCAAAGTTCAAGTTTTAACAAAGGGAAAAGTTCATATGAGGTTGACACATTAAAAGTATAGAATTAAGGCGTACCTCTAAAATCTTTCCAAAACAGTTGTTTTGATGTTGGTAAAACATTTAATTGATCATCTTGACATGGAGATTTATAGATATGGAGAATAAAAAAAAAGAGATTTAAGAACTAAAAATAGCACATCTTGTAACACATTATCTAGACTGTTTATTTTCAAGATTTTTATGTGCTTATAGATTTGCTTGATTTGAACCATTTTTGGAGTTTAAAATTTTATAATTAAAGATAAAAATGGATTCTTACACCTTCCTAAAAATTTGTGACCCTAAAATTATATCTCATACAAAAATTCAGAGTTGCACCTTACTTTGGTTGTTTAATATTGCAACATGATTGAAACCACACCTTCAATAAAATCCAATATATTAGTACTAATGTGACTACACCCTCTCTGATATTTTATACGAAATATTGTTGTAAAATCCATAGCTCAAATTTTGTGATACAATTTTGGGGTAAATTTTTTTGTCACTTTGATATTAGGTTTTGATTTTTATTAATCCTAAAAAATTGTCACTAGACATATACATACACGGTATAATTCCCATCACCCAACTAGCAGGAGGTATTGTGATCATTTTCCAATTTATTTGAGATATATGGGAAAAGGGTTGTATACCATAATAGCGGTGTATAGGTTATAAAGACCATGGGAGTATGAATCACCGCCGTCTATCCTTATGGACGAATGAAGTATGCTAGCATTGTGTATCATATGCCATACACCTTTGACGAACCGTATACTTCTCTCTCTTTTTCTTTTTTCTGTTTGGGGGGAGGAGGTGGGGGCGAAGGCGTACTTCAAAAACAAGGTCTTGTGATGCTAGAAAATCCTCCAGCTGGTAATCACAATTTTTACTATGGATCTAAAAAGAAGAATTCAAAGTTTACAAATAGTGCAGATTTCTTGATTGTTATCAAGTATTTATAGATTCACTCCGTCTTACCACTCAAAAGCTACAAATTCGCAATTAGGAGTTGAACTACATTTTTAGGCTCTAACAGGGGTTTCAGGTTCTGGATTGCATCTTAAACAAGATTAGAAGGTTCAACTTACTTTTGATTTTTGTGTGTGTGTGTGTGTTATTTTTTAGTAATTTACTTACGGACTCTAAAATTTTAGGTAAAATTCAAAATGCCACGTTTATAGTAAGAAATTACAAAGAAAGTCGGTCATCCGGTCGTTTTTTGTTTTTTCAAAATTACCTTTCGGTCAACGCGAATTTAATCAAATTTTTTCGTTAGTAGGGCAGTGCCTCAAACTTTAAGGCACTGCCTTACTAACAAAAAAACAAGAAAAAAAAAAAATCGAGTCGATAAAGAGACAATTTTGAAAAATAAAAATAAAAATAATACATTGGTCGACTTACTTTTGTAATTTTATTATAGAAGAGGAGCATTTTCGTATTTTACCTAAAAATTTAAGGTCAGTACTAAAGCACTCCTTTTTGTTTTTCTAATATGAACTTAACTGTGATCGTTTAATGTTGATACCCTCCACAAACCGCAACCCTTTTTAAGTAGGTGGGTAACTAATTAAAGTAACGCCAAAAGAGAGGGCAGAAGGGCATTTTAGTCTTTCTAAAAATATTGGCAGTTTCAGGGAAAGAGATGTTATTTTCAGTGCAGCACCTGCCCTGTGTTTCGATTGTCCTTAAAAACCCACAACAACCTCTGCCAAAGATCTCAAGCTCCCTCATTTCCTAACTAATTGGCGCAGTCAACAAGAACTCAGAAAATAAGAGAGAGAAAATGGAAAACATGGAGCATCAAGGTTCTGCAAAACCTGAAAGAAAGACAATCGAGAAACTGAGGAGGATGAATATGAAAGCCCTCTTCTCCAAGCTTATGGCTCTCACACCACAGCAGAGCTCTAAGGTGAGCACTCATTTAGAGAGAGAGAGAGAGAGAGAGAGAGAGAGGAGGAGAGAGAGATTTTGGGCTTACATTACTGAATTACAGGTCTACCTTTCTTTAGATGATGATGGAGTTGAAGCATTTTCCTTCTTATTTATTTATTTATTTATTTTCTCGGGTAGATCAGTGAGGCCCCTACCCGATTCCGAAAGAGTCGATTTTTTGAAAGTGTTAGTGAGAATGGTGGCCGTGACCCCAGTCCCATTCTCAACCTTCTTCTTCTTGTTGTTGTTGTCATGAAGATGCCACCTTCTAGTAACAATGTTTTTAGCAGTCACACTGATCCTGTAATTTTAGTTAAATAAAACAGGGATGAAAATATGAAGTGTGCGATAACTATAAAACATTAAAATATGGGTGCTAATATTAGCTCCAAATTGTAATTACTGATCCATTAATAAGTTGTGAACCGTATTCATTCGATACAAGTAACGAGTTCGTTGGACTCTCTCTGTAGGAAGCGATTTCGATGCCGGATAGGCTGGGGGAGGTGATTGAGTACATAAAGAATTTTGAGAAAAATATAGAGGTTTTGAAAGAGGAAAGGGACATGTTGAAGAAGAAGGGTGTGAAAATTGAAGAGGAAGAGGGCGTTGGAGTGAGGAAAAACAGCTATTTGCCGATTATAAAGGTTCAAGCATTGGGGTCGAGTGTAGAGGTCAGCATAGTTGTTGAGGTGTGTAGCAGTGACAGGTTTAGGATCCATGATGTTGTATTGGCTTTGCAAGAAGAAGGGGCCGAAATTGTGAATGCTAACTTCAACACCATGGATGATAAGATGATCGCAGTTCTCCATTGTCAGGTATGTTTTACCTCCTATTCTCTCTCTCTAGGGATAGGGAGAGAGAGAGAAAATGCATGTGATTCTCTCTCTATCTCTCCCTAACACACACACACAAACAGTCTCTCTCTCTAAAACACACACAGGAAAACAGGTCTCTCTCCTCAGTGGGAAACTTTTGCTATCTCCCTCTCCCTCCAAAAATAAAAAAATCAGTTAATCTAATGTCTTTAGTGTCCTCGGTTAAAAAGAAATATCTATCTGATACTTCATTTTCACGTGTAATTCGTGGCATTCCTCCATGCCTTATCTTCTGCCATGTAATTATTGAATGTGTCCTTTCGTTTCTGTCAATTCGTACGACGATCACACCCTGCCTCTGCGACACGCATAGAGAGAGACGTTGGTAACTTTCCCTTTCTGTAGTTACAAACTTACAATAGGTGAAGAAAATTGTTGCCATAGTTAATGATATCCCATTCAAAATAGGGTGCCGTTTTGCAACCTTAAACAATCCAATAAGGGCGCACCTCCAATTTTTTTTTGATAACATGTATTTTTAAGGTAAAAAATTCTTAGGATTATCTGGAAATCTATCTTCATATCTAAATAAACACTTTCAAAATCAAGTAGATCCATAAATATATGAAAATCTTAAAAATAAACGGTCTAGATAATATATTACAAGATGCACTATTTTTGAGGACTCGAAATGTTTTTTTTTTTCTCCATATTCATACATGTCCACATTGAGATGATCCATTAGAGGCTTTTTCAACTTTAAAACCACATTTTATGATGGATTTTTTATGTGCATATGTAATTCTACATTTTAAGGTTGTATCCTTGTATAAACTTTTTCCTTCAAAATATGAACCTCTTCAAAAAAATTATGGTTGTATTTTAAAAGTGTTTTTTCAACGTTTTTAAAACCTTTTTATTTTATTTTAAAGGAAATATAGTCATGTTCTATCACCATTAACAAAAACTATGAAAATATATGCCTAATATTACTTTGAAGTTCTAGCTTCATTAGACCAAGTCCCATTCATTCATCTTTCTCCCTCTGTTTCAATTTTATTTGATCTTACATCTCGCCTTTGGGAGCCTGACCACAAGACCTGGTATTCATACTTTACTATGACAGCCTTAATCAAAATCAGTTTGTCCAATGAATTTTTTCTCGTTACATTGTTTTATATATATTCAAGAAAAAAATAACAATGTCTTCATGATGACCCGTGCTTGATTACTTGTATGATAAATTGCTTCTTTTTGCTTGTAATTCATTGTCCTTTTAATTCTCCCTGTGCGAATTTCCCCAAATATATAGAGTTAAAAATACCTTTTTTTAAAAATCTTATTTCCTTCATAAAATACTAAATAACTAGTTTTTGTAATATTTTTTAGCATTCCATAATTTATTTATTTATTTTTAAATAAGTCAGTGGGGATGATGAACTCCTACTCCTTTTTTTTTTTTTTTGAGATAGTGTATTTTTCAATCATTAGTGAGAACGGAAGTCACTAAAAACCTTTAAATGGGGCTTAGGTGGTCCTACGACCACGACCCCATTAGACCATCAAAACCAAATTGATACGCCCACAAATATTTTGTTATGGGTGCAGTTTGTATAGAATCAAGGCTCTAAACAATCAAATTAGAGTCTACCTATTCTTTATTTATAAAGTTTAAAGCTTAAAAAATAGTGTAGATTGAGCAGATCTATGAAAATTTGAAAATCTTGAAAATTGACGGTCCAAAAATGCATTACAAAATGTACTATTTCCAAAATTTAAAATCCATTTTTTTCTCATATCCATGCATCTTGATGTCTAGATGATCAATTTGAAGATCTTTGGGCATCAAAACAACATTTTCTAGTGAAATTTTTAAGGTAGACTCTAATTTAATTATTTAGAGCCTCGGCTCTTTATAATTTTTTCCCTTTCTTATTTTTTATGATATCTCTCTCTTTTTTCTTTTTAATGTTAAAAGTAAGATTTCATTAATATAAGGAGATAAAATAGTGAAGGCTGGCCTGTGCAAAAGGCCAGGTGTGCAAAAGCTTAGAGATAAGTGGAGGCTTTAAAAAAAGTGTTGCTTACGTCATGAAGTGTGACGTGCACATATGGCGTAAGGTATGGAGCATCTTCCTTGCATCCACACTCAAATGGTCTTTAATTGGCTTTTCCATCTTTGCCTACACCTTACTCCACTTCCTCCGATAAGCTTCCACCAATTCAGCCGCCTTAATTAAACCTTATGATAGATTTTAAAGTATTGATGAAAAGGTTTGTTAATGAATACAAAGAAATTAAAAGGTTTAAGAGCATTAAAACTAATTAAATACTAAACAAGTTTAGGATACCAAAAGAAAAAGCGAGGACCTGAGAAGCCCAAATGACTTGTGGATTCACGTGGTACTAGGAAAGAAAACATAGGGTGGGTTTCGAATCCGATCCGCGTGGGCCGCCAGGTCAACCCGATCGGGTACCCACGAGGTGGATTGGTGGCCTGACACTAGCCTGGCAAATGGCAAATCTAGGCCCAATTCGGTTGGACTCTAGCTTGGTGTGGGTTGGTGTTTGAGCTTGACTTGATCCAACCTGGGACTAATTAGTTAAACTAAAGATTGGGGTTCGAAAAGCTTGGACCACACCTTTTTCGGGTCATGTCCGGACCCTATAGGATTGGGGTCGACCCCATTCAGACTTGTCTCTTTGCGGTCTTGATGTTACTAGGGCATACAAGTAAAGAGCAAAAGGAGAAGAATAGCACATCTGAGAATGCCATGGTGAAGGGTGTGAAAGAGGGATAGACTTTGCAAAGTGTCTCATGCTTTGAAACCTATCACAATTCTATTGGGATGAGACCCCTTTCTGCAGCGTCACTCACGGGGGCTATGTGGAATATGCTGTAGTCCTTAGTCCTTACAGTAAGATAATTTTTCGACTTAGAAAGTCCTATATGACTTATGCAACTTTAACTATTTTTTCTGATGGGCTAATTCTTTAGATCGGCAAATATTTAAGGAATTTGAGTTCTTTAAGTCTTGACCAAACTTCGGTAGGAGGTGAGGATGGTGTAGCGTGGTCCGTGGATGCGCAGACACATGTAGGCTTGCAGCAAAAGGCCCTAGTGCAAGACATTGGATAGCAATCGCATGGATAGCTAGGTTAGTGGGACTTAGCGGACCAACAATAAGAACGGGTTGAGGCTACGTTAGTTGAGCCATGGGTACCAACCTGACGGGACATAGGCAAGGTCTTGACTATACAATATATGCACGGTTGAGAAAGTGTGTTACCCATGATGACCGAGGGTGTGGGAATTTGAAATTGAAATGTGTAACTGCTCTAAGCACGAACTTGTGTAATGATCATAGGTATTATGAGAATAATTGAATAAATATTTAGTCGGCTAATAGAGATTAGTAGCCCTAAGATGATCATACATACATGATTTGCATGCATTGGAGAACACGATAAGCGGGTTTACCAAACTTGTAAGTTCCTCTTAATGAGTCACAAGGGCATTTATTGATGCTGCAGGGGTGGGCTGGTACAACTACCACACCAGTTAATTGGATGTAGGGGAGGTTCATACTTTAGAGAGTAAAATGAGGATAATGGTATGATTGCATACTCTAGGGCTATATAAACCTCTTGCCTGGTCCCTTAAGGAACATATGTGGCTGTAACGACCAAGTGTATAGAGTAATAAGAACGGTTTATAACCTCCATGATTTTACGGAACATTTTTCGATGTTTTCCATACTCTATGACAAGAAAATTTAGGAAAAGGGACATTTTCTGGCATTTTCCATACTCTATGACATAACAGAAAAGGGCTACATTTTCCTTAATCCATATTTAACACTAGCTTGGTGGGGTACAATTTGGTTAAATAAAAAAAAGAAAAGTATACAATGAGATCATTTATTTTTCTCAGTCTTTTCTCATATTCTATGGTAAGAAATTTAAAGAAAAACAATATATTTTCCTTTGTTTCTTTTTAGTCAAGTGTCCAGCAGTCATGTTTCCTTAGGGGTGGCAATGGGGTCGGCTCGAACCACCGACCTAACAGGTCGACCTGAAATGGGTCCGGGTCTAAGTTTTGGCCCCAGCAGGTCGGGTTTGGGCCTGGCTTGGACCCCTCTCAGATAGGCCAGGTCCAGGTTGGCGTACACCCGACCTGATATAAAATATATAAAAAATATGCTATTGTACAATACAAAAAATATGCTTTTTTTTTAAAAAAAAAAAATTTAATTTCTATTTTTTGGTCGGGTCCGTGACCCGATCCATTGACACCCTTAAGTTTCCTACTCTTAACGAACACAAAACTTTTTCTCATCTTTCCTTTCCCCCCTCTCTCTCTCTCTGTTTTTCTTTTCTTCTTTTCGAGTATTTCCCTTTTCTCTTTAGTTTTGCAGCTACTGATTATTCTTATAGCAAACAAATTCTCAAGACATATGTTGTGTCATAACATGTTGGTGAAGCATAATTTATGTGATTTTTGATCTTAATATTGATCCACTTTTATGTGGATGCAGGTTAGCGATTATAGAGTGGGATTCGACACAGGAAGGGTTTATGAGAAACTAAGGACCTTGGTACAACGAAGTCTTTGACAGCATACAGACCCTTGCACCCTGAAAAAAAAAAGAGAGAGAGGAAAAGAGCTTACCAAGCCAAGACCTCCGTCTTTGCATCTTCAAATGTGCAAATTTCTATGAAAATCAGTAAGCCCACATCCGTGGCCACTGACTTTGTACATATATATCGGAGCATTTCTACCTTAGGTAACAGACTATAGGGTAGAGATATATATAGAGAGAAGGGAAGAGAGAGATTTATGTTGAAGTTCGAGTAGCGTTATGAGTATGTTGCCTCACAGCTTTCACTGCTAATAAAACTCAGTGTGCTACTCCCTCCGGTTTCACCAGTTGCCTGGAAATTTTTTGAGTTTTGATCATATAACCACTACCCCTTGCTCACAGAGTCTCTCACATTACATTAACATTACTTATGAGAGAGAGAGAGACAGAGAGATTTTTGTGTTTGAGATGCGCAAATAATATTCCAGGCAGTGCTACATGGACTCTTGGGGTTTTACCCTTGATCGAAGTCGACACATGCTGACACGGTTGATATTCTTCCAACACTTTAACTATACTTGTGAAACTATTTATTTATTTATTTCTATTATGTGTCATCACTTCAACAGGTCCCAAAGACATGCCATGTCCTAATAATGATTATATCAAGAGAAATTTACGTATGGACTATATTGGGAGGGGAAATACAAATGGAAACATGTTTGTCGTAAGTTTTGGGTAGCACCCCTTACCCTGGTTTTTTATTTTCAAGTTACCCTTGTTCGGTAAACAAACATTAAACATGTGGGTTTTTTTAGAAAAACAGTTGTCCAGTGTTCGAAATACTAGACAACCATCTCTATCTTCTCCAATTCCAATGTATTATGTCTCTATCTCTAAACTCAGGGACCTATCTCTACCTTCTCTCTCAAACTCTTCAAATAACCCAACCCAGTTCCACTAGAATTAGCAAAACTTGTAGAGTCAACCAGATTCTTAGGAAAAAAAGAAGTTGAATGAACAATGCGTCTTTCAGTGGATTCTGATGATTTCCCAATCTGCGTTCCACTAAAATTAGCGGGACGTGGTGCAATGATCATTTTGTGGGGATAAAGGCAAAGAACTGGTCGAATTTGAATTCCTGAACCGGGTTTCACTAGAATAGGTAGGATTGTAGGGTTTTCATGAGAAAAAGGAGAAGAGCTCAAAGAGTTCAAACCACCATGTTGGGTTTCACTAGAATCCGCGGAAACGACAGAGTAAAAATATTCTTGGGCGAGAAGTGCCGGGAATTTGAAAACACAAAGAGTATTTGTAGGACCAAAAGGGTTACTCGGTGAAAACGGAAGAATACCCAAATTGGGTTTCTCTAGAACTAGCAGGGCAACCAAATTGGGTTTCTCCAGAAAGATCAGGAGTTGAGTAATCAAAGCGAGGTTTGCTCAAAAGAGGTAATGAATCTGCCGAATTTAGGGGTCTTGCCTGAGAAACCAAAGTGGGGTCATAAGGGAGAATTGAAATCTTGAGGTGGGAACCAAAGACATCCATTCTAGCCTCGTACAAGTTTTTGGAGAGAAAGAAGGTGGAGATGGGTCTCCTGAGTTTAGAGATAACAGAGAAATTAGTGGAGATGGGTCTCCTGAGTTTAGAGATAAAGAGAAAGAGGATTGTTGAATTGGAGAAGATAGATACGGATGTCCGGTATTTCTAACATCGAATCGCCGTGAGGGGTTGCCTGTAATTTGGGACAAACGCGTTACCGTTTGCAATTGACCAAAATTCTCTTATATTAAAAAGAAGCAAAAGACAATATCCTACATTGCATTACACATGAGAGAGAAAGTGTGTATTTGAGAATATGGACACTGGGGTTCTTTTGTGTCGCGTATTGACACCAGCAATCACTTCAAGGCTTCAGCTATGCATGTTGGATTATTTATTGTATGGACAGTTGGGTTCTTTTGTGTCGCGTGTTGACAACCACTCTATTGCTTCAACTATGTGCGTTGGATTATTTATCGATTTTTTTGCTCATGTCAACGCTTCAAGAGGAAGAGTCCACTTCGACGACACATTATGTCCTTCTAATTATTATATTAAAAAAAAGGAAAATACCAAACTTTCCATGTTGGGACTTGGATTCAAAAATTGTTTTATAAACATTTGAATAAATTATAAAAAGGTAACATGTCGGCGAGTTGTAAACGTGCAAAGGAAGTACTAAGTTTTTTGCCTCATATACCAAACACTCCAATACATATTGGGCTTTGAACTTGGTCGGTGTCCATGTAACACTAGTTCTAAGAATTGCATGTATGTAAGCGCGATGGCACGTAAAGGTTCTTGGGTATTCTTTTTGCGAAATGTAATGAAAACTCAGACATGAACTAACACTTCCTCATAACAATATTTGCTTCTTATTTATGAAATCATGTGCAGCTAAATTCGATCATCGGGATACATTTAAACAAAAGATCAGACATTTATCTTATCTGTACAAATGTACAAGTGCAACGAGTTGTAAGGCACCAAGTAGTCTACTCTTTCTTTATAGAAAGTAAGCGAGCATAAGCTATTTAGCAATTGTGTCGAACAATCGTACTTGCTGAAAAGATCCAAAAGTAATTTATAGAGAAAGTGCCTTTTTAGTTTTGGTAAAATAATATCATGTGTTGAGATATTGTGCTCATTTGTTGAGGCAATGTGACTCTTCATTTCTGTGTATTTATAGTCATATAACAACTAGATAATAATAAAAGAACATGATTCATGTAGCCAACCCTAAATAATTGAGATAAAACTTGGATAATGATGATGTTTATTATCATAGTCATATAACAACTCCTCAATTATATCTTTTTATGAAACTAGGTATCCAGAAGTCTCAATTGTTCATAATCAATACACTAAGTTTAGTCATTGTCAGACTGCTCAATCTATGCAGCATAGAGACATGTTCACACAACATTTGCATCGACTATGTCGTGTTTGGCCGGCAATACATCGAGCGACATTTAATGTGACACCCGTCAAACATCACAATTCAGCCTCGAACACTTGTCAAACCAGCTCAACCAACGCTTTTGCATAGGCCAAAGTCCCCTATGCAAGCATAAGAAGTGCAAAATGCATCTCAAGCACTATCACACACATATGCACCGCATGCTCTGTACAGGTCTTCTCTCCCTTGGTTTCAAGGAAACGATAGAAGTGGGTATTCCAACATTGAAACTTACCTTAGCCTTCCCCACTTTTCAATGTGTTCTCTCTATATGATAACTCTATGCTTCCGGTAGAATGACCTACGGTGGTTTATACCATCTGCTGAATATTGGGTTCAATGTTCCAGTAGAATGCCCTCCGGTAGATCGTTGCCCTCCGGTAGATTGGTGCACCCGGTGAAGTGTGCCCCACCGGATGGTTCCGATGTATTGGAGCATCCCAGTACTTTGTGCCCTTTTGGTGGAACGCGGAGCTCTAGTGAACTGGTGCTCTGATACGTGTGTTCCACCGGTAAAGACGTGTATAAAATGCGTGATGATTGGTCTTCCAAATTTGAAAAGGCACAATGCAGTTGTGTTTTGGAACTAGAAGAGTTACTGTGCCATATTAGTAGTTGAAATTTCAAGAATCGCAACTTTTGTCTTTTGATATCATGCGGGTATGCAAAAAGGCACTTTATATCTCTATAAATAGAGACTTGTTTCCTCTGGTTTTGACTCACATAAGCCATACAAAATTTTTAAGTGTTTTTTTTACAATTTTTTCGCTATAGAAAGAAGGCAACTCAGGTGCTTTAGATCTTGTTGTGCATTTGTTTTGACATGATAGTTTCTCCAATCCCCTTGGTTGCATCTTAGATGCAAATTGATTTCTATTAGTAAAAAGGAAATATTATCTTATGAAAGTGATATATTGTGTCTAGAATAAGAGAGATTAACATAATTTTGTTTTCTATATCTTTTATTTTGCCCAATTTTCACTCTTCTAATTTCAACCCAAACCAGGCGAGACATAAAGCCCGTGAAAATTAAAATCACAATTGAGCATTTTGATTTTATAAATTGGGTCGTGAGTTTTGTCTAGCACTTCTTAGGGAACCGTAAATAAAAATCATAATAAGAATTCATTCACTTTTTCTTCATAAGAAATCTAGAACAGTTCATGACATGACGAATGTTTTAGAACTTACCCATAAAGAACAAAGTAGAAATCAAATAATTTCCTTAGAAAACTATTTGAACCACTCAATGTGGTAGTTTAGGTTAAAAGAAACATAAAATAATCAAAGATGCCGCTGTTACAGGTGCTTTTTATAATCACATCCATCCCCTTAATTCACACAACATTATGGTGAAGGAAGTCGTACGCGTTAGCTCTGAGGGCCCCCAAAAACGTGATTAAAATTATGTCAAAGTAGAGTACTATACAATTTGGACACGTGTGTTTAATGTCTAAACAACTGATTACTAAGACGTGACATGTGTTTAAGGCTTAATATAAAAACATGCTTAAAATGTAGAGAAAGGATAAACAAACAAACAAAAAATATCAGAACAGAGTTTATATAGAACCGTGGCTCAAAACAATCAAATTAGAGCCTACCGCAAGAATTTCACTAAAAGAAGTTGTTTTGATGTTCAAATATCCTCAAATTGATCATCTTAAGATCAAGTTGTTTGGACATGAGAAAAAAATAGATTTCAAGTATTAGAAATGGTGCATCTTGTAACACATTTTTTTTACTGTCAATTTTCAATATTTTCAAGCTTTCATAGATCTGCTCGATCTACACTATTTTTGAAGCTTTAAATCCATTGAGTGGATGTGCCATAGGATGCAGTTTCTATAAAGTCCAGGCTTTATGAAAACAAAGTAAAGCCTCAACATATATCTTTGTCCTTAAAGCAATTTAGGTATCGAAAATCTCCATAATGGCTCTAAAGTCAATCTCTAACATCGACTATAAATTTGAAGCTAAAAAATTAGTACAGATTTTTTAGATCCATGAACATTTATTTATAGCGCAAAATCGACAATCTAGATAATGTGTTCCAACTTCCAATTTATACTATTTTCAGTATGTAAAAAAGTGGGGATTTATAGTCTTATAAATAGTTCATCTTCTAAAACATTACATGGACCATCCATTTTTCAAGATTTTTAAGTGTTTATAGATCTGCTCGATCATCACAATTTATGGAACTTTAAATTTCATAATTAAAGGCAACAATAGATTTTCATATGATTGCGAAGCTTTGTGGCATCGAAACTGCACTTTCGGCATAGTATTGAGGCGCACCTTACTTCAATAGCATAAAGCTGACACCTTATTTTTTAAAGTTTA